TTTTTTTTTTTTTTTTTTTTTTTTGCTTCTACAAGCCCGCTTTTTTATAGAAAAGTTTTCGCGTAGGGTACTCTCCATCCGGGTATTTTCCTCGGACGGAACTAAGGGCAGACAGTGTTTCTCCGCTGATGAACATAATCGCGTCACGTGATCAATTTTAACGAATAAGAATCGGAGAAAATTTAGTGGTGACATTTTACTCGCAGAAATTTCTTGGTGTCGCAGAAACTGAACTGAACAATTGACTCGAATTATTTCAAGGCCAATCTCTGAAACTCGCAAAGCGCTGATTTCCAATTAAAATTAAGAATGTAATATATATATGGGTTGCTGATCAAGCGTGAGGTCGAGAGGCCTGAAGTTTGGCCAAGTTCTTTTGGGGCGGTTTTAAGGACGTAGACGGAGACGAGGTCCATTTTCACGCAAAAATAACGAGGCCAATATTCAGGCATCTTGATGGAACAAGCTTGCTCAACAAAGGATTCATTATATGGGGCACGGCAGCTTTGGAAATATTTTTTCTTGCTTGATACAATGATTAATCCCTGTACGGTTTGCCGTCTTATTCATCTTGTAGCGTCAGCAACAGAGTTCTAAAATATTCGTCTAACAGGGACAGATGGTTGAGGATGTTCGCCGCTCCAAAGGTGTGCGACGCAAGTTCGAAGGTCTCAAATGCGTCTTCCGTCCTCGCTTCTTCAATAATCTTGTGCAACTCTTTTAGTGAGTTTCTGTAGAGAAACGAAAAAGAAACTAATCAGTGTTTACCGTATGTAACTTTCCTGGAATGTTCTCATACCCCCTAGTTGTTCTCCTTGGTGGGAAGTTTTACCAGCCACTGACCGAGGAAACTGAAGGGTCTAGTCTTAGAACGAAAATTTGTTTGAAGCGAACTCTCCCCCAGGGTCTTCCAGGCTCTCCCTTCGAATTCAAGACGGCGCATGATTTAGAAAAGTCGCTATCTTGGATTGAACGCCGAGGCTGGGTTGTTAATGCTAGCTAACCATCTAAGCATTGCCCATTCTACAGACGACGGGTGATCCATAACGTATTGATGTCGCGTCCGGTTACTTAGCAATCACACTTAAATGTAAACTGTGAGTTCAGTTGAGCCAGTTCCGCTATATTGCGAAGAAAGAAAATTTTGCAATGTGCAGAATGATCTTAGGCAAAGTGAATCTTTGTCACTGGACATTAAATCTGAAGGCCGCGGAATTAATTCCCGTAATGGCCATTAGCTGGTGTTGTTCTCGATAGTTTGCCCCCTGCCAGTTGGGATTTTTAATCAGGCTATGTTCTCTTACAATATTTCTTTGAGCATTTGTTCCAATTTGTCCTGAAAAGCTTCATTGGGGGTTGGGGGAGTGGTCAATAAAATAGTTATCTCAAGCTGAAACGCTCATAGAATCATTAGAGTTCCTGACTTTTCCATATGCGATGTTCATTACGTGTTTAATTTAGTTCGCGAAGAAATGCCTGCCTCCAAAGATCTGCCGAATACTTATACTCAGAATTTCATTGGTATTTTTGGAATTGGCATGCTACACTCACCTTGTGATCTCAACATCAACAATTCGTCTTCTGAGTTTGAGCCTGCAGTCTTCGCAGTGCTTGTCTTTGCAGTCGTCATCTTTGTAAGCCTCAACTGTCTTGCGTGCTAGCGTTGTCAGCGGTAAATATTCCCTGTTCATCTTAAGTATTCCGTCAGCCAGTAGTTGTGCCTCGCTTTCACACAAGCGCGAAAGAATTGTGGGACGCGAGCGGTTGGCAGTAATGATGTTGTTCTTGTCTAAGAGGACCCTTCCAGAAGATTTAGCCTGTCGAACGTAAGAAATCATTTCGACCCGCGTCAGTGTCTCGGGCGGGTTCATCCGACGCTTTAGTTCTCCCAGGCTGATGTTAAACTTGGTTTCTTTGAAACCAGGAAGGGAAAGAAGGCCGTTCACTTGACAAACTGTATCGCTGTCGTCACGGGCTTGCACTGCACCGAGACCGTTGAAATGTTTTGCGGAAAACTCGTCTTTTTCTGGTACAGACTGCGGGAAGGCTAGGGTGTTAACCCGTCCGTTTCTGATTTGCTGAGGTTCTCTTTCAGGCAAGAAGAAACAGTCGATGAGGTTTCTTGCTGAATTTCGTTCTTCTTCTTTTTCTTCCTCGCCGTCGTCATCATCATCATCATCATCATCATCATCATCATCATCATCTTCTATTGTTTCGTCAGCTGCGTGACCGTTAACACATCTCTGATTAATTTCCTGGTCGGAATCACTCGAGTTCTCTATCTGCATCTCGTCCGAAAACGCTTCGTTTTCAACGCTTGTCGTATGCGATGGATTACGGTTGCTCGTCATGATTGTTCGCTGTCTTTCTGTTGTACTATAGGGAAGCCGCTTTTCTTTGTTATTCCTCACCGCTTTTACGATCCTATTCAGCCTTAGAATCTTGGCAACGTCTTGAGGATAGCGGCGTAGTTTATCTGGCAGTACTTCAATGTTATCAGCCTGTTCAGTTGGGCTCCTAATTCTCTCCAAAGCGCCATCATCTGGTTCACTGGCCACTTCGTCTTCATTTGCGGAGATTTCAACACCTACTTTCTCCTCAGCATTAGCGCTGCGTTCCTGGTTTTTTGGTTTGATTTTTTCATGACAGAAGATCACGTGCTGAGCGGTTTTTTCTTTTGGAAAGGTACCACTCTCTCTACTACACACGTACTGGAAATTTGCTTTTCCATTGAAATAACCCTCGTCGCTCTTTCGTCTTTGACAATTATACTCTCGGGGGCCATTATTCAAATGTCTTTTCTCCCTTCGAAAAGTCGAAGAGCTGTGTGGGAGCACTCGATGGTCGGCTAGGAAGCGACTTGGTGCTTGTGGAGATTGCGATGCGAAATGTCCCTCTCCGTTAGAAGACTCCGCAGAACGAGCTTTTGTTGGAGACGATGGAGATGAGTGGTCCATTTCCCTACTGTAAATAGGGTCCAAGCAAGGTTCTGAAGCTCTTCTTCTTTCATTTACCATCCTCCCCTCTTCGACTCTCTTGCAACGCATTTCGTTATATTGCATGAAGATTGTTTGCTCTGTTTTCTGTCTTTTGGTTTGCTGCGAAAGTGGTCGCTTGCGATCTCTATACCACTGGTATGTCTTCCACACAGGCACCTCATCCTTCGGATAGACAGAGCTATTGCTAGCATTGTTCTCTGGCAAAACTGGCGAAGAGACGTTCTTCACGGGTCTGTCTGATGGTGAGCCGTTTATTCCAGACATTAGCTTTTCATGGAAACCGTTGGATTTAGCTGTGCTTCGTTCACCATTTACCAACTGTGTAACGCCCTCATTTCCGTTCAGTGATTTCACATGGCTGGTGTCGCGCTGAAACGACTGTTGTTGTTCACGAGGAGACAAATCATCATTTCTTCTGGTTGGGAAACGCTGTGTGGACATAGCAGGATCGACGCTTCTTTCCACTAATATCAAGGCTGGTTGAAACCCCTTGAAAACCTGCTTGTTGGGGTACGACCAACCATTGACAGGTGAGGTTGAACGTTGCCGTTTTTTCAGTGCCTCGAAATGTAGATTTCGTATTCTTTCATCTGGTTGGAACAAACGAGACTCAGGTCCACGCAAAGAAGGCGGAGACCTGGAGACCTCCTCGGGACGGGACACACCCTCGGTACGAGAGGAATTTTCTGCATGGTGCGCACTTTCGGAACGGGACGCATGGTTTAAATATTCTTTTCTCATTTTCTGCGGTGATGATCTTCCACGGGGCTCGTAAAATGAATTATCCTTAGGCGATTTCACTTCGTTGTCTTCACTCGGGGATGAAGAACGCTGAGGTTTGTCGCAATTATAGTCATTGTTACATGGAATATCATCGACCGCCTCTTGCTTTACAACCACGGAACAAGCATCCTGTTGCGACCGAGGACCATTCCCTGAAAGCCAAAAACAGAATACAGATAAAATGAGTACACTTAAAACGCCTTAAACAGAACTGAATTGTGTTTAATTTAGTAGAACCAAAACACCGGAAGTTTTCGTATCTCTGGTTTTCCGAAAGCTGTCGCGTTGGGCGCGTTCTAYTTTTCTTTCGCAGCGAACACAACACTGACCATCTAACATGGCGGCTCCGACTTTTTCTTTTTTGGACGTGTTTACGGGAAACCCTCATGTCATCCCAAATGATGTAATGCCTCACACATGTCCCAAAGCATGGAGTTTTCTCCATGACACTGCGGAGGCAACAAATGTTTTAAGTGACATGAAACAAAATCGGCAATAATATATGTCTCTCGAAAACCTATGTTAACTCAGCTAAACTCAATTGTTTGTTCAGTTTTCCTTTTGTTTCGATGACAGCTCTGTAAATTGGGCGTCCCTTAGCAGGTTCATTTCCACTCTTCTGCTTACTTGTGTCATCGTGGTTTCTGTTGTTACCGACAGGTTCGTTAGATTCGATTGGTTTTTCACTTACTTTCGAGGATTCTAAAGGCTAAAGAAAGTTCAATGGTCGGCTCAGCAACTTTTCGGAGGCTATTCGGACTGTAGTTGATCGTACCTCATCATCTTTACTTGTAAAAAAGTCTTCAATCATCCCTAACAACAACAATCTTTATTTGTACTCTCTCACACTATAATACTAATTGTACCAAAATATCGATGATTAACTTTCAGGTTCCTCTTGGTGAACTTTCTTCCAGAAGCACGACGTCTTCCTTTTTGGGTTGAGCTTTCGATCGAACTCTTGGAGCTTTCAAGTGTATTTTCGTTCTTTCACGCAGACTCGGCACATATATATTCATCAAGCCACAGTTTCCAAAACGCGTTGACATGTTTCTGGCCTTTCTTTCCTGTTTGTCTTCTGATGCAAGGTATGGTACACCGGTTTTTGGGTGTATACTAATGAATTCACCAGGGGTTAATGCGAATCTAGAATTCAAATGGGCTTCCACGTACACTAATGGTCGCGAATTTACAACAGCTTAGACTTCTGTAAGGATGGTTTCCAACTGGACAATGTTAAACAGATCTGGCCAATACTTTTTCGGAGAGCAAGCCTCACAATTCCCACAAGCCGTTCATAAAAACTTCCATCCAGGGGGCCATTTCAACGATAATGCTCCATTTGATTCCTTTATTGGCTAGATAAGTTTGCACGTCAGGGCTAATGGTGGTAAATATCCATGCTTCATCAACATTGGACTTTGCTAGCATGAATTGTGAAACACTGTCAGTTATAATCTGTTTCGGCTTGCCACGCCTGTTGATAAATCTTCTTAGGCACAAAAGGAAGGTAAATAGACAGACCCACACCTCGTTCACTTTCACATTCAAGGGTCCCAGACAGTCAAGGCCTGTATATGTAAAGAGAGAAGACTCTTCTATTTTTGAGGGTGGGTATGGAGCCATCTGGGGGCATTCTGTATGGACCCCCTTGATGTCCTCTGCATTTACTTCGACAGTTCAGAACACCTTGTCTGACTGTTGGTCTTTCCTGTGTATCCAGAATTCTCTTCTGATAGTTGCATGACAACGTTTGTGATACTCCACCATGCATCAACTGAAGGCTGTTGATGGCCAAGTTAATAAAGCCTTGGTTGTTCGGTAGAAGCTTTGGGAAGGGGGTAGTTTCTGGAAGATTTTCTCTGATCACCCTGCCATGGCAACGGGGGATTCCACTTTCTGTCTTAGCTAGTCTAAGTTGATTCTTCAGATTGTTTGTTGTATTGCTCTTGATTGCATTAATCTCTGATGTAAAACTGCTTTTCTCGGGACATGTCTTTTTCACATCATCTTTGCTTGGTTTATTTCTTCGGCTTTAAGTTCTTCTTTTTCGGTGCTCTTCTTCTCCGAAGTTTTGGAATTAATTGTAAAAACCGTGCCGTCACTATAATTTTTGATCTTTGGGAGGTTTTGTAACAGATACCAATGCGTCAGTGGTAGCTTTGCCTTCACTGACGTCCTGAGTTATGGGCCGCAGGCTTCCAATAGTATGCTAACTGTCATCTTTGGTTGTATAATGTCGCTCAGCATTTTCCCGGTTTGTTATGTATCTGTGCGACTTATGTCTTGAAAGCTTTACCGTCCATTCTTGATCATCCTCCTTTTGGTCAGTCCACTATCACATCTTTAGGTAGCCTTGTCATGATCAGGGTTACGAGCATTTTTGTGTCTACATCCTTCCCTAGGGCTTGTAATGATGTGAGGTGTCATAGCTGGTACGAAAGGCTGATGTATATAGCTTGAGGAGGCAGGTAAATCCATGCGACTAGTGTGTGATGAACAATGTGGATGATCTCATAATCCAAAGCATTTTTGCAATAGTCTGATTACTTCCTGATAGTTACCATTTGTCAAGGTTAACCCTGAGATTACTTCTACTGCTTCTTCTTCAAATTTAGCTCGAAGGTAATTCATATTCTCTACTGGGCTGGGTGATTCATTGGAGGTACTGCTGAATCAAAAGAATCCCAGAATTCCAGCCACTTCAATAGCTCCCCACTAAATTTGCTGAAATCGAGCTTTGGCAATTTTACAGTGTTAAGTTTCGTACCGGGTTTTGCTGTTGCTGCGTGAAGTGTTTTCTTCCGTTTGTCCTTCTTAAGTCTCTGTACTTCAATTTGTAACTTTCCGTGTTCAATCTGGGTCTTTTGTTTCTCGATTTTGAACATCTACTCCTTCAATTCAGGTCAATATTTACTTTCACAATTCCTCGTCTGACCTTGAATTCCATTCTGTCCTCGATCATTTCCATTCTCGACGAAAGTTCCACAGCAACTGGAAACAGCAGCAGACCTTTAAAGACCCACCACGCCATGGGTGAAGATTGTCAAAACGAAAAAAAAAAAAGATAGATTAGAAATTATCATTAGAAGATGCTCATGTAAGGGAGAGTAGNAAAAAAAAAAAAAAAAAAATTATCTTCCATCACTTTTTCGTACTCCCTTTCTCCGGAGGTTTTAGCGGCGTCTTCAAGTTGAGTTCGGAGACCTTGATAACACTTAAATGCTATTGCAGCGGATCTCGTTTCTCACGTGTTTCATCTAGGAGTTGCTCAAGATCTCCATTGATAGGTCGCTGTTTGATTTCTTTTGCTGCCTCAATGTTGAGCCACATGTGTTTTCCTTGGCCCGATCAGTCTTTTAATCGCGCCCAAGTCTGCTACCATCTCTTCGTAGGTTTCGGCTAGGCTTCTAGGTAACTCGGCTAATTCGCTGCTGATGTTGTTGTCCACGACTGCGAGGAAAAAATAATTCGACGGACGTTGATGTGAACGGCTTTCAAACGAACGGTATCGCTTTCTTTCTGTCTTTTGATCTCTATTTCTCCTTCATTCCGCTCGCTCTGCTACCACGTCGGCGTTTGGGCGAGTTTTATTTTTCTTACACACTGACAACAACATAGCCCGTGTACATCCGTCCCCTAGCGCACGCGACAATACCGGAAGAAATTATTGTTAGAGAACGTTTATCGACAGTTGATCAAAGTTGGCGGTGTTTCAGCCAGATTAAAGGAAAAACAATGAATATTTATACATGTATATTGTCTTTTTGTCTCGAGTTTCTTTTGCCTTTGCGCTGAAACACCGCCTTGAACTTTGATCAAGAAACACACAACCAGATCCAGGCCCCCTTGTAATCGCGCACGGTAAGAAAACCGTTGATAGAGGCTAAGGCTTCAGTTGATGTTGGAGCATCCTCCAAATCCTTAATGTAGCCTTTTGTGAGTACATTTTGAAACTCAAGCAAGTAAAGGTTAATATTGCTCTTGAAATGTGACTACTAAAGAGCCGTAAAAGGCCTATTAAGATCTAATTATATGTCATGATCTCAAGAGGTTCTGCTGACTTGTGCGCAGTGTTGTTGAGCGATATCTCAGTTCGAGGAGTCGTCTACAGGTTCAAGTCTCCTAAAAGACGTCGTCACAAGAGAATCGCAAGCTAAGATGAAGTGAAAGAATTGGTTCTCCTAATACAAGGGGACTTTTTTTTCTTACAATCAGCTAGATATTTCACCCCCTGTATTGTCCCTCAGGGATAATTAATACGATTCGTTACCTCTTCGCTTCTTTAATTTTAGCAAATTGCTACTATGATAAGGCATTCAATAGTGGTTGGATTCTAAATATAATGGACAAAATTTCAAATCACGTATTGCCAACTTCAACCCCTGTGTCACTTGGCTCTCGATGAAACGACGATATTTTTCAAAAGCACTGTGGTTTCCAAGGCAACTCGATCAGTTCTTCGTGACTTCAGCGGGTTAGAATTTTAGTACGTTTACTAGCATTTTCTTTTTGTCTTTTTGCGCACTGCACGGTTGAATTGAGTCAAATTGGAAAGTAAAGATCAAGAGAAATTCTTGCTGAAAGTAGTGATGAAAAGGACTTAGATGCTGCAGGCTGAAATGGTTATGTCTAACGTCAAAGGTTAAAAATAAGACTTTCACAATACTGTGGATTCCTGGGAGAATAAACCAACACGTAGGAAAGTTAAAGTGTCTTAGATCTTCTCAAAGATGAAGGTCTTGCCGCTTGCATCTAGAAGCTTCGGAGTCGTTACCTGAAGAAATAACTTTCCCTAAGGAATATTATCAAGAGGGAACGTTTGAGAGGAGGAAAGCTTTGATCTGTGAGCAAGTTTAGGTTCGCGTGATTTTTAGTTAACAAACAAGGCCGAAGGACAGCCCGTTGCATACCATACAAAGGAGAAGCTATATTTTAACCCAACACGCAATAAAACATTGAAGTACTCCGTATTTTATCCACGAGGAAAATTAACTACTAAGGAATATTGTCTAACTTGGACAAAATTGGCGAGAAAAATGGGAGAGATTTTGGAAGACTAAATATTATGTCCTTGGGGCTAAAAGTAAGCAGTAAGATCGGAGTTGTTCTGAAAATTGATATTATTCCGCCCGCTTTTGTTAAAAAGCCTAGAAATTAGTTATTAAGCTTGAAAACGCTGCAATTAAGGCACAGAGGCGTTATGCAAAGAAAAGACTCAGCTGGTGCTTTATATACATATTAAATCTTATAACGGAGTCAAAGCCGACGCGCTCGCCCGCAAGCGTCGATTTATTTTGTCAAACTTACGAGAGGGAATCAAGGTTAAAGATAGAAAACCAAACCTGTATTCAAACGAGATCTGATATTATTTAATGGCAGTCATCCGCCTGCTGAACGACAACATCGAGGAACTAAAGCAAGGAAACTAAATTTTACAAAACGTACAAAGTGTACATTAAAATGTTATGTACGAAACATGGCACGACAACTTTGACCAGAAGGGTTTTGCCTTAAAAGAGTTTACGATCAAACTATCTACTGTATTGTTACAAGAATTACGAATTTAGTACAAGCACTTGCTAATAAAAAGTATTCCGTTTCGCCTATTGCTCTTAATGTACTTGTTCTTAAGCTCTTGCCTGTGGTCGATTACATTTTGGCATTATGGTCTTACAATACACTGCATCATACAGAACGAGAAGCCCACCGTTCAAGCAGGAAGACAAAGTTTGAAAGGCACATATTTAGAGCCCAACTAAAAATCTACTCGCACTGTGTGCCCGACACAATTTGGAAAAGAATCCCTCATCACAACAACTTGAATGCGTATATTTGCTTATTCTCTAACGTGGTGTCTGATTAGGAATTTAGGACACAGGAAAAATATTCAAGACCACACAAGCGCGCGTGAATTATGCTCTCCGTCTCCGCGAAGAGTTTGCATATGTGCGCATGTAATCAATTTGCCGGGGTGATTGAGAGATATTCGTTTTTGTTTCCGGCCACCAGTGTTCGCTCTTAAGAGGGGCGACTGTAGGCTGGACTGTAATCATGTTGAAGTTTAGCAGCTGAAGGGAGGAAACGTTTTATTTCCGTTAAACAGCTGAGACGAGTATGGCTACATGATCTAAACAAACGCCCACGGTTTGTAATGAAATACAATTAAGGTATTGCAGAAAACTTCTTGTGGCGTTAATCTTTCTGGTACGGCAATTTCGTAAATTGTCGTGAAACTTTGCTCTCTCTATTATCAACTTGGACTGCCTCACCAAATCGCGAGTTTCAGAACTGTGGTTTGTCGATGGAAACGTAAGTTCGCCGCTAACTATTTGGGCTTTTGTCAGTGGCTTATCTTCAATAACAAACGTTACAACAAAAGAACAACGCTTTATCGTTTCTAGCTCGAACATTTCCAACGAGTGTTCTTGAGTTCAGCTATCTTTCACGTTATTTTAGGGCCAGTAGATTTAACCTACGTAGCCTATGAAAAGGCTGTGAATGACGTGGCGAGAACACGAAATGAATATCAAGTATCTATAGGGTTTTGAATTTAGCAACTTTAAGTTGCTATGTGTGTGAGCTGATGTTTTGTAGCAAAGGTGCATTGATTGGACTAAAGCAAAGTCATTTAGAGCTGTCCAAGGTAAAATATTAATGACGATTCTTCGTTGACAATTTGTCTGTTGTATGAAGCGTGACGGTCTCGATCGCCTGGAGTGAAAAATTCAGCCGTCAGTGCAGGTTGTGACAACCTCGACATAAAGACATTCATTACGACTGACAAATATTAACCCTCAACTTTACTCTGGAGGTTGCTTACCTTCTTTACCGCCATTTTCTTACGCAGAAACATTGTACAGTCAAATACTTTTCAAATTACTCTCGAAGAGAAAAATAGAGTTTGTTTTATTTTGCATGTTAGAAAGGCTGTGCCCGTACATGCCGTAAGTGTTCTCGGAATTTCCACGCAAAAAATGCAGTTTTCTTCACTGCGTTGTATTTGTGCTATCCATTTTTTGGAGAGTGATTTGATTTCTGTGGATGGAATGTGCATATGCGATAACCGAAGCAGAGGTGTTTTCATGGCACAGCGAAACGCCCGAGGCTGCATCACCTCGCGTGGTATCAATAATTTTTAAGCTGGTCTGCCTTGTCAAGCTGCAATTTGACAGCATATTGTGAAACAGTTTTGACTGTTGGTGAATGAAAGTAATTCAACTGACAGACAGTTTTAACGCAACAGTTTCCTGGTATCAATGTTCAGAGTGACAGGGTCATTAGCGACGATTTAAGTGTATTGGTTCTAAACAGACCTAGCGAAAGGCAAGCGAATTTCTTGCATGACATTCCCTTCTATAATGAGTTGTTTAAATACAGTAGTTAGCAGTCGGTCCTTACCTTGGGCAGAGTCTTGAAAGATCATCTGCTGTCTAGCGTGGTGGAAGTAATCAACACTTGCCAGTCTTCCGTTTTGCTGCGGGGAATCCAAGCTAAGACTGCCATGATTCTCTGAACAATACGTGGAGGGCAAGTCTCTCTCCGTCTTAATTTTAATAAGCACGTTGTCTTGGAAAGCAATTTGCGAAGCCATTGCTTCTATTTTCCTGCAAAGAATTTCTCAGCACAGCTGAGGGTGAAAGGAGATTGTTACTAGAGTTTTACGCAGTGTTCTTTGTCCACGCGGGACGTTTTCAGACCGTTTTGACAAAAGCGCTATTGAAAGTGATCTATTGTTTCACTCCCTTTTATTCAAATTTTGAGATGTCAGAAATAACAAGATGCGTATTGTGTCAGTCAGGCCTGATTATGTTAAGTTAGCCGGCAGCCCTTGTTTCAAAAGCCAGTCTGCATACTTAACCCCCCAGGAGACGAGTAATATATGTACCACGCTCACCGTGTCTCTATAGCCTCGGGGAATAAATTGATATTCAGAACGTTGTATTCGGCTGTCTGCCTATTTGAAGCAGTTAGCCTCGAAAAGGGCTCGCGTAATTTACGCGGGCTTAATAGCTGTCCCTGAGCGCGCAACACCCTGGCCAGGTAAAACTACCTCATATTTGGAGATGCCTTAAAGAAACATAGAAATGAAGTCGTAAAGCTAAGTCAGCAATATTAAACTACAACACACACATTCAGCGGGCTATAAAGCCATATCTCACTAAACTGGTGAAGCTTGAGGCCGTCCAGACACATCCGATTGAGCAGCAATTCAAAACAGTATACCCGAAACAATGCCTTTTCTACGCACGTACAATTTTGGCAGAAGCGACGAGCCATGTTACCTCGGCCTTCAGTTTTTTCGACATTCTTGAAAAGAATGATAACAAATTATGATTCAGTAACAGATTTGAATGGTTGGTATTTTTATAAGCGCGTTCCTTAAAAATACAGATAGAATTTGGTCGCTTGCACTGTCAAGCTCTGATCGAAATTAGCAACATAGTCCCTAGCAAGAATTTTCTAAAATATATACATTACATTGCGTTTTATTCAAATTAAAGCTATCTTTTATGATCTATATCCGTCGCGTCCGCTTCCGATTTTGTAGGTGCCCTCCTGAAAAAGAATTTTGAAACGTTTTAAAACTTGTGACGTACCGTGTCAAATGATTTCAAACGATCATGACTTCGTTCGAAAATCAGTAAAACGTCAACGAAAAGTTCAGGAAAGTTCTGTGTTTCAATTCATGTCATTGCATTATTAGTTGTCATTAACAGTGTGCTTTTATTTAAAACTTGCCTGGGGCTATTTTAAAACATTGAACAAACCTGCCGCTCACCAAACCGTTATACATGACAGAACAGCACCAGTTGAGTCTGAGAAACTAAAAATAATATGTTTTCCAGTTTTCGCACGTGAAACGTTTCTTGCGGTTACTACACAAACACCAAGTGAAGTGTGTTTTTTGCAGCGTGAGGCGAGAGGCAAGCATAACATCATTCAGGGCTGTGTTAAATTAAGTACGCCTTGGGGCAAAGATCTTTTTTAGAAACCTATTGACATCAAAACACGAGCTCTCTTAAGAAATCAATGGGACTCACGCCAGTGTGGCGTCAGAAACTAAATTTGGTGTCATCGAACAAGAAGGAATTTCTTTAATAGTTCAATTAAACCTCGACCACGTTTTGTATCTGACTATCTGTCGTGATTGTCGATGGTTCAGCGTGTTTCGTTGAGAAGTCGTTTTGAGAAGAAATTAAATGTGCCCCAAATTCAGTCCTTCAATAGCAAAACAGCAAAATCTCCATTGCTCTCTTGAGATAACTCTGCGCAAATATGTGCTAAGAAAAGCCGTTTTGAAGGACCTCCGATGTGGAAGTTTAGTATCCTCTCAAACCTTTTAGTCGGAGAACTCGTTTCCAGGTCTTTCTGGAGTGTGACGAGTGACGCAAACCGAGAGGCAACTGGGGCGGAGTAAAAAAACAAAGGTGGGGGTTCACCCAAAAACACACCATTTTTTCAAACTTTTCTCTTGGTAAGATTTAATTCCAAACCATGACAAAGTATACAACTTTAGAAAGCTTAAAGACTAAAGATTATGAACAAAATATTTTAATACCCTAGAACTGTATCGTAACCTAACACCGGCTGATTAAATCTGCCACCTGCTGGGAAATACTAGGGCGTACTTGAGAAAAGATAACTCCTACAAGAATTGATCAAAATGAATAATACAAGTGAATATATGAAAGTTCATATATTTGAACTGCGGAGGATATAAAGATATGATTGATCATCGCAGTTATGCACACAGCTTAAGCAGCTGTGAAATTAAAGCCTGAAAAAAATTCAGGGCTGAACGGGATCCCGTTCAGACCTACTTTTTTTTTTCAGGCATTAATTTCACAACTGCTTAAGTTATGTGCATAACTACGATGATCAATCTTATCTTCATAAAATGAATGTTTACATTTTTTGAACGAGGACAAATATAGAGATTTTTGAAAAGTTAGAAACACATGAAACGGTGACCAGTTAAATCTTGTAGAGAAAATCAAGCGTACGTTTCAATACATAACTTCGAGAAAATGTACCGAATGGAAAGGTTCTCGGCTTAAAACATAAAACTTACTCAGAACAACAAATCCTGAAATTTCAGCTCAATTGAACAAATCCTTCGCAAAATATCTTGTTTTGAGAAAACGAACTTTGAACTTTCGGTAACAGAAATTCTCAAAATAAAGCATCAAGACCTTAAGATTCAAATTCCGATAAAAACGAATTTTTTTTTAGAGAAAAAATTATTATTATTATTATTTTATTATTATTAT